TACGCACTGATGATAAATGAGGCCTCTGGAATCTGGATGGGAAAGCTGACCTGTCAGATGTGTAGAAGAACACAGATCATCATTTGCCATCAGAGCCTGTATTTATGAAGTTACCACTGCTGTGCCCCATGTGAAAGTGAGCCCATCATTCTCAATTTAAAGCAACACTCGTCATTTCTGCTGCTGTGTGAAGCTGCAGGTATTTATTAAAGTCAAAAGAACAAATCTGATACAGCCAGCTGTGGGCAACAAACAGGATTTCTGTAGGTGTAATAATGTTTCTGCAAAATCAAGAATTATAATGAAACCTGTAAAACACTGCTGTTTCAGACATAAATCTTAACACTTTCTAGATCTGTCTGAGTCACATTAATAGCTGTATTTTGACAGACATGTCAATATGTTATGTAATGATATCTGTGGGTGGCACAGCACTACCTGGACAGAAGTGGGGGGCTGATCAACCTCAGTTGCATTGCTTGGGTGTGTGTGATGGTGAAAGGCGAGTAACAACCAATGACCCCAACAAACATTACTGATGATGTCTCTAGACTCAACATGACATACTAGATGTGAAAAGAAGTGCAACATATACCCTATGATATGAGGGAGAAGTAAAAAGAGGCAAAAGACATGAAAGCTGATTTGTGATGTTGCACACCTCTGCTGACTATAGACAGACAATTGAAGCTTTTGAACTCTGCTGTTTTAATTCTGGAACAATCTCGGCTGACACTGGAAATTGTTCTGCTCACTGTAACAATTAACTTTTGTGGAAGTTGATAAAAAGAGAGACGAAAGTTGAGCTTGAGTCTCTGTTCCTTTATTGGACTCCACTTACAGCAAAACTCACTCACAGCTCAAAGCCTTTTATATCACATCCGCTTTCCCACGACCTGGAAAACCTTACCCCTTTCCCCTTCAAAATAATAGTGTCCTTTGTGTGTGAGACCTACAGAATTCGTGTACACGACACTGGCTCCCCCAGAACACACAAAAGTACCCAGCAGCCCAAAACCACATGGTCAAACATAGCATAAACACACACAAAAAATTATATATATATACAACCATGTGAAACACAAAACCTTAAGTATACCGCTCAGGGAACTTAATCACCCTACCGCTACGACTGTGCTTAACAGTCTCGGGCGGCGGGGCAGGAATGGATAAAGGTCCAACATCACAGATCGGATTCGGAGGGCGGCCCCGGCAGGCAGGGCGTGCCAGCTGCACTTTGTCATCCTGGAGTACATAAGCAGGCATCAAATGATCCACCAAAACATGGTCCTTCCCCGTTCCTCTCTACACCAGAAAAAACTTACGCCCCGTTTCCAGCACACAAAGGGGACCATCATAAGGGGCCTGCCGGGGAGAGCGGTGTGCGTCATGTCGGATAAAAATGTACTTGGCCGACATAAGGTCCTTAGGGATGTACGACTGAGGAAGGCAGTGGTGGGCAGCAATGGGTGAGAAAACTCTAGTCCCCCCCTGGAAGCTAGACCTCCCAAACCACTCTTGGTCCCAAACCCGGAACACGAGAAAGAAACTCCCCAGGGACCCTCAGAGTCTGACCCAGGACCAACTCAACAGGGGAGGAGTTCAGGTCCTCCTTGTGGGCGGAGCGTAGGCCCAACACAACCCAGGGCAGCCTGTCCACCCAGCTACTGTCCACCATNTTTCCTTACAGCCATCACCAATGAGTCAAAATCAAACGGGGACTTCACGCCATCGCTGGATTCCCAAACATAAGTGGAGCCATAG